TCCCTCCTTCTTAAAGAAACACCTTTCTTGTGGCTCTTGGGGGCTGAGCAGCCCCTCTCACCTTCCTACTGGCCAAAGGGCTGCCATGTGACCTGCATCTGACCGATCACAGCTCCTCCTGCTCTGCTGCACTGATGGCTCCAGCCATGGGCATGTGACCCAAGCCCAGCCAATCAAATCCTTCCCTGAGATTTTAGTGGTGTTTTTGTTTTTGTTTTTTGTAGACTCTGTCTCTGAAATCCAACTGATTTGAATTTGTAAGGCTGGAGTCGAGAGGGAGAACAGGACACTCAGAGCCTGTGGATCTGAATCCCCAAGGCCACACCACCCAGGGCTCTCCCAGTCTAAGCCAGACTGAGTACCTTTATTCACTCTGCAAAGTGGATGCCTGAGTTCTACATTGTCCTTGTTCCCTTTCATGACTCACGTGACCCAGTCTCCTACAGCTGAATTTCCTAACCGTTTGCTCTGTCATGAGCATCAGACACTTCCCACACTTCTGGCTGCTGGTGACGCTGGGAGGAACCTCTGTGTGACACCATTCCTACCAGTGAACTTGAATGAGGAAGTATGGTCTCCTGACCCTTCACCTCCATCCCTGCCTGTGGCTTCCCAAGTCACAATCTCTCCCCTGCCAGCTTCCTTCCGTCCCAGCACCTCTGTCATTGGCTTCCAGCTCGTCCTGTGGCCAAACCCGGGTGAGAAGTGGCAGGTCGGCAGACATCAGGCACTTGGGGAGCCCCTGTGTCATGCTATAGGTGGCAGCTCCATCCCAGGCCAGGCCCTCCAGAGAGGCCAGCCTCCCAGATACGGCCTCTGGTCCAGACTCCTTGAAAAAAAGGGGAACTTGGGAAGGGAAGGGATGGCAGAGATGAGGAACAGTGACTCCACCACGGGAGCCACAAAGGCAGGGTGCCAAGAAGACATGGCACACACTGGGCCTCCAGTAAACATCCACTGACTGACCGAGAACGCTGCAGTCAACACGGGGCAAAGGCAGATTCTGCTCCTAACCCACTCTGTCAAGACCCCAGCCTCAGTTTCCCACCTGCAAAATGAGGTCATCCCTATGGTCCTTCCAACTCTCTCGCCCTTGAGCCAGCTGCGTTCTGGGTGAGGAATTTTGAGCTTTTGGACAAAAATCATTACAATTGAGTTCATGTGCTGGACCCACAAGGGGTGGGAGGGGAGCAGGCAGTGGAATTCTAACGTCTGAAGTGATGCTTGTGTGACGCTTAGGTCTCTGGAGGCAGAGACCTAAAGTCAGACACTCAGGCCTGAATCTGAGCTTTGCCTCTTCCTGGCTGTGTGACCCTAAGCAAGTGACAACCTCTCTGAACCCAGTCTTCACTCCTATAAAACAGGGGTTATAATAATATATACCTCATTGGTTTGTGAAGGGGATTTCATGAAATGATGAACAAGCACTTAGCAGGGTAACTGGTACGTGGCAAAGTGTTCCATAAATGGTCAATGGTTGTTTTAGGACTTCCTGGCCCCTTATTCAGAAATTGCCATGTGTCATCTCATCGACAATTGTGAGCCTCCTGCCTAATACATGAAAGGGACACAGAATCCCACTTAGGGCAGAAGGCTGACCTCAGACCAGAAAGAACTTTAAGGGGAGCCCTTCCCATCTTCGTCCTTCTTTTTACCTGGAACTTATGCACAATAGCTGGAGAGCAGGCAGCTGCTTTGAACCATGAGGAGGCTTGAAGAATCTGGCCTGGATTCATGGCCAGGTTGCAACAGGGACCTCGTTCTTGTAAGAGACAAATAAACCTCTAACTTCTTTAAGTCATTATTATCTGGGCTTTCTGTTTCAGGTGAACAACCCTAACAACAGTCTCCAGTTTGCAGAAAATAAAACTGAAGCCCACAAAGGGGGCGGATGACACAGAGCCAGGGCTGAGTCAGGGTTTGCGTCCAGGTTTCCATGGCTCCCCTACTGTTTATTCCACCAAAACCTGCTGCCCACAGTCACCCTCTCACACAGTGTGCACCCAGGCTGTCAAATACCATGACTGTGGGGGCAGAGGGAGCTGTGATGCAGTCAGGGAGGGCTGCATGAAGGAGGTGGTGCTTTACGGTTTGGATAGGAAGTGTTCGGCATAAAGGATTTTGTGTCGGGGGCTTGGTCCCCGGATGGTGGTGCTGTTTTGGAAAGCCTAACTGCTGGAGGAAGTAGGCCACTGAGAGTGGGAACTTGGTATCTCCCCTCTTTCTCCCTCTCCCTCTCTCAGTCTCTTTCTTTGCTTCCTGACCACTGTGACACTCACTCCCTGCCATGACGTCCTGCCCCAGCGCAGGGGCCGAGGGACCGTGGACTGAGTCCTGGCACTGTGGGGGAAGTCAGCCCGCCTTGCACCTTGTTCTCCACTGTGGAATATCAGTGACACCTGCTGTCAGAGTTGCGCTCACAGAACGAGACAGCGATAAGAACCAAGCCAGCCCTTTGAGCAAAAGCGAAGTCCCCCACTGCCACCGCTGGCCCTGGGCCTGGCCCATCCACTGGGGCGGCCACCACGTGTCAGACGTCCGCCGAGGCCACCCGGCTCCGTGTTTCCCAGGCCTCCTCACAGCCCTGGTCTACAGCAGTGAAAGGACACAGAGCCAAAGCCACCAAGGGGCCAGGGAGGAAATCAGAGGACACCGGGCACCGGGTCCACTCCCAGCAGAGTCAAGGACAGCTTAATCCCTTCAGTGACAAACTGTGACAACGCATGCCACATGTAGCCCATCAGGAACAGGCTCTGGACCCGAGTCCAGGGTTGGCTTCATGCGTTCTGGTCACACAGTCACTGTCTGCCTGGCACACACAGGACACAGGAGGGCAGGGGTCCAGCACGAGCCCCCTGTGCCCTCAGCATGGGGCGTGTGACGTCGCGCGGGGCCCCAAGGCAACCCCGTCCTGCCCGGGTTTACCCTTTCCTCCACATCCTCTTCTCCAAGCCGCCAGGAAATGGCCATGGTGCCTCGGGGCCAAACACGTTGAGAAGAGTCGAGTTTTCCCTGGAAACCAGTTTATTAATTTCCCAGAAAACAGCTTGAGCTGTGCTGGGATCGGGGACAGCGAAGGTTCCAAGTCCCGGTGCCCTGAGCTGGGCGCTCGCGGGCCTGGCTGGCCTCAACCGATCCGATGGGGCACGGGCCCCACTTCTGTCTTCTGCGAAATGACAGCAGGGGTTGGCTATAGCGGGAAGCTTTTCCTGTGTCACAAAATGCCCCAAAAGTCGATGACCTAAACAACAAAAGTGTCAGCTTGTGAAGAGAAGTTTGGATGTTCTCAGCACAAAGAAATGACCGCCATCTGAGGTGCTGATATTCCCGTTACCCCAAGATGATCACCACAGGCGACACCCATACATCGAAACACCGCCTGTGCTCTGTACACATCCACAATTGGGTGTTGGTTGAAAATGAAAATCTTAGCCGGGTACAGTGGTGTGTGCCTGTAATCCCAGCTACAAGGGAGATGCAGGTAGGACCAGTCCAGGCAGAAACATGAGACTCTCCCTCAAAAATAACCAACGCAAAGAGGGCAGGGTGTGAGAATACCTGTCTAGCAAGTGTGAGGCCCAGAGTTCAAATTCCAATACTACAAATAGATAGATAGATAGATAGACAGACAGACAGACAGTCAGACAGCCGCGTATCAGATCTCACAATTCTCTGAGCAGCCTTGGTTGGACTCGGCTTGCCAGCTCTTCTGGGGTGGCCTGGCCTCGCCCTGAGAGTCTGGCCAGGACAGCTGCCCGTGTCCACGCGGTCCCCACCCGCCAGCATGCTGGCCCTGGCGGCTGGGCAGAGGTCCAAGAGCGAGAGTGGGAGCCGTGAGGACCTTCACAGCTCAGCCTGTCCCACAGAGGGTCGCCGACGCCCGCCAGGACGTGTCCAGGTCTCCATGGCCGCCCGTCTGCTGGTTCAGCAAACCCACTCCACCAATCGCCGTGTGTGGAGGCCAGAGGTTCAAGGCCAAGCCCGGACTCCAGGGGAGGGGACAGAGCCCACTCTGGCCGGAGGCCGGCAGCAGCCCCGGATACAAAGGGGTGGAGATTCTGCAGCCGGTTTCGCCTCTGCCACACCTCTCTCACGTTTTCCCAGGGACCGGGACACCAAGGTGACTTAGCTCCCCCAGGGCCTCCAAATTGGTGGGGAAACAGGTGAGTACACGCGTGAGCCTCGGAGTTGTGAGGAATGAGCACTGATTTCATGTCTTTTTCTCTACACCTCCCCTCCTCCTTGAAGGATTTGCTTCCACCTGCCAGAGAAAAGCACAAGCGACAACGTTGTGACTTTTACCGAAGGGGAAAGTGTTTCTGGAGCACCTGCCACGTCCCAAGCGTCGCACACACATCATCTCCGTCTTTTCCCGTACTCCTGGGCTGAGCACGATCCCCTTTTGTAGGCAAGCAAAACAGGCCACTGCAGATGAGACTAGCCCAAGCTCGTGCAGATCCTAAGATGCAAAGCCACCTCGGGTCCCAAAGTCCACATGCTATAACAAGAAGAGCCGTAGATGAACCTCAGATTGGACGATGAGCTTCCCAGCAGCCTGGGGGCAAAGGGAAACTAGACATATCACCCAACTGGTCACTAGACAGGAAAAATTCAGACATTTCTTTTTGAAGAGAAGCAAAGCCCTTCCTAGCACTGAATTAATTTACCTTTTCTCAAGTGGAATTTGATTGATGAAAGAGCTTGTGGGGTGGAAGGGACAGGGCTTGGCTAGGACTACATAAGTTGGACAATCCTTTGCCTGTCTGTAGGGAGGTTGCCTGTGTTCCTTAGAGAAGGTTCTGTCGGCAGTGACCTCTTCCCTGTGGCTGTGAGTTGTGTGTTTCTGTCTCACTCTTTCCCTTTTACCCTCTCCCCTGCTCGCACCCCAGATGCTTGGGTCCCACTGAGCAGAGCTCTGCTGGTTTTAGGAAGTACACTGCGTGAAGAGCCTGCGCACAGACCAGGGCTCACTTCCTCCCACGCGGCCTGGGCGGGGAATGCAGGAAGGGGTTGTGACCAGCAAGGTGACACATCCTTGCCTGGCCAGCCAAATAGCAACTGATCGGGGGACAAGGAGCCAGGGCCACCTCTCCCAAGGGCTGCAGAATGGACCTGTGCCACCCAGGTAAGCGCCTGGCGCCAAGAGGCCTCTCTGCAGAATGGGGGAGCCATGGCTGGCCTGCTGGGCCACAGATGTGAAAGTGGCTGTAACAGCTGAGATGCAACAGGCAGCAGCCTGTGGCAGCGCTATGGCGTGGGGTTCCAGGGGCTGAGCTTACCGCAGGGAGCACAGCAGGAGCCACCCCGCCCGGGGGCTTGGCACTAGTGGGCCACAGAGGTAAGGAGAGCACAATGTCCTGTGTCAGCTTGTGACATGCAGGGTGGAGGGCAGGAGAGCAGGACAACGATGAAACAAGAGGGTGAGCAGGAAGCCCTGGAGCAGATGCCATTTGAGCAGAGCCCTGAAGAGGGGCAGAATAACCCTTGGGAGTTTACGGGGAAAGGACATTCCAGGCAGAAGGAACAGCCAGGACAAAGGCTCGGAGGCAGGACTGGGGAAAGTCACTTGCTATAATAAAGATGACAATGGTGAAGATGGCGACGTTGGTGACTGTGATTCCTGTCTGGGTGGGGCAAGGACTCTGAAGCCCCTTTTGGTGCTTGGAGCCTGGGGCAGCCTTTGGCGATCTGAGGACCCTGCTTAGAGCTGGGGAAGGGTGGCCATGGGCCACAGATGACCTGACTGTAACCCTCCCCAGTAATGAGGGTGATGAGTCCGGGGACAGAGGAGAGCCAGGCATGAAGTTGGTGAAGCAAGAGAACAGGGCGGGTCATGTTTCTGGGGTGCAGAAAAAAAGGCTGGAAAGGAGGCCAAGTCTCTGTGCCCCAAGTCTTAGAATGATCACCTGGGATCAGGCTGGGAAGCTCAGCCTGCTCTGCTCACTGAGCTTCCCCTGGAAGTGATACCTGGGGTCTGGGGGGACACAGAGAACACTGGTCCCTTTCAACAGCTGCCCAGATGGGACAAAGGAGACCCAAAGGAAACTCTTAGAGGCAGAGGTGGCGGTGTCTCCTGCCTCCCTGGCCAGAGCTCTCTCCCTGGCCACCACCCCTCCCATGTCTCCCCCAGATTGTCAGCGACTCCATCCTACAGGGGCTCAGGGGCCATTGAGAAGGCAAGAGGAAATCTGGCCAGAGGCAGGTCGGCTGCAAGTCACTCAGCAGTTGTGCAGTGACACCGAGAGACAGCCCACACCCTGTCTGCTCAGCAGGGTTACTGTGGGATCTTGACATAGAGTACAGCACAGTCACTCGTGGTGCAGATAAGAAAACCAAGGCTTTAGAGGGCTGACTTGAGGGCTGGCTGGTCAGGTCACATGGCCAGTAAGTGGCCCAGCAAGGAGAAGAGCCTGAGAGCCCAGCTGGGCTCCTGTGTTGCAGAGGACAGGGGGCCCTGGGGGGGTAGACTGACCACAGGTCTCTGCTTTGCTTCTGGCCAGCCCTAGGGAGGAAATGGATGGAGGTGTCAAGCAGACAGTCTGTTGGGAGATGTGAGGTCTCATTGACTGGCTTGTCTTTTTGTTCATGCATGCATGCATTGGGTGAGCACTCCTGCAGGGTGTGCTGTGCAAAGCTGGGAACCCAGCCAAAGGCCTGCACCTTGAGCTGCTGGTCCAGGGCAAGGCGTGGGTGGAGAGAGAGAGACACGCTCTGCATTACTCTGACCCTGACCTGCAAATGGACACAGACAAAGGAGCATGTAGGGAGAAGATTCTTTCCCCAGGCAGAGGGCACCTGGTGGGGCTTCCTGGTGGAAGAAGGGGAGAGAGGGATATCATTCTGTTACCCAGACTAGATCTTAAGAGGACCTCTCAAAAAATAAATAAATAAATAAATAAATAAGACCTCTCCATGGCCAGGTGACTTCCCCTCTGAGCTCAGAGTCCTTGCCTGTAAGTGGGCGTCATTGCCTCCTCCTGGCCTAACGTGGCGACTTAGGGACTGAAAAGGACCCGGAGCCAGCCAGTGTATTCGGAACCAGCTCTGCACCAGCCTGCTGGTGTCAGTGACAGGTCTCTTCCTGCTGTCGGCCTCAGTTTCCCCACCTCTATTACAGACAGGATGGTGGCAAAGGCTTCCTAGGCTGCCTCCCACCTCCTGCTGCAGGCCTGTAACACAAGCAGCAGGTCAGGCCCCACTTCCCAGGCCTGGGAAGGTGAGAGTCAGGCAACAAAGCCTAGCCTGACCAAAGACAGGGCAGCAGCTGGTGTAGAGAAGAGGAAGGGCCATGGCTAAAAATAGGGGTGACTGGGCCCACAAGAGGAAGACGCCTTGCTGCTACCCTGAAGAGCCAAGGGCTCTTCAGCAGAGGTGGGAGCAGCCCACTGGTCCCCGCTGCCCCATGCCCCTCTCCCCAGAGCCTCCTCCCTCAGCATCCCATGGTGTCCCCTGCCACCGGGAAAGGGGAAGCAGGGCCAGCTGTCCTGGAAGCAGAGCTGTGGGCACTAAAAATACAAAAGGGAAATGCAAAGGGGAAGTGGCAAGGAGCCAGGGAGGCGGCCAGCGGGCACCAGGCCTGGGGCACAGAGCTGGTCTGAAGGTGCCACAGCCCAGCACACATGGGTCTGGGAGATATGAGGACCACAGGGCAGGAGAAGCGAGCAGCTCCACGGTGGAAGTGGTGATTTTTATGTTATTGTCATCATCACCAAAAATGCATCTCCCACCAGGGTGTGGTGGTCACGCCTGTAATCCCAGCTGCTCTGAAGGTAGAAGCAGCAGGATGGTTCTAGACCAGCTGGTCAAAAGTAGCAAGACCCTCTCTCAAAAGCAAAAATTAAAAAAAAAACAAAAGGGCTGGGGGCGTGGCTCAAGTGACAGAACCCTTGTGTCTAATGGCCAAGGCCCTGGGTTCCATCCCCTCCACCCCAAAATCTCCCAGAAGCCACCCCAGTGGCTGAAACTGCCCCCTCACCATGGTTCTGCAGGGGACACTCTAGGCCATGTCCTCCTTGCCCTGACCTTGGGGTCCTCAACCCTGATATGGGGAGGGACCCCTACTTCTTAGCAAACGGCCCAATAAGGGGTCAGAGGGTCCTTGTGCCTCACTGGCCCCATGTCGGGTACAACAGGCCAGGGCGTCAGAGCCATCCAGTGTGCTACCCACTGGGGACAGGACCAGGACAGAGGGGACAGTGTGCCAGAGAGCTCACAATTGTGTACACTTGCCAAGTGTGGAAAGGCTACCACCCCTCTCTTCCCCTCTAGGGAAGCCCGTCACTATTGTTTGTTTCGTCCACACCTGTGCCTCAGTTTCCCCACATCTGCAATGTTGGCTTGTGGGGGCAGGGAGGTGTGGCCGAAGGCACAGCCAGCACTCCAGGTCAGGTTTAGAGTCGGATGGCTTTTTGACAATTCGCATGGAGACTCCCAGCTTCACAAGGTCAAAGTCAGGGCTGTGATGTCGGAGCCCTGGGTGGGCAGGGTGTGAACCCTAGCTTGGCCACCTTCCAGCTGTGTTGGCTTAGGCGAGTGAGATTAGGAAAGCCTTCTTCCAGAGCCGTGGGGATCCCGTGAGACAGAGGAGCTGGGAACACACAGAGCACACAGTAGGTGCTCAGCCAGCGGCCTTTGCTTGGCCAGCAGGGTGTGTGTTCACTAACCATGCCCACCCCAGAAACACAGTGGGGAGTGGGAAGGAGGCAGGGAGGGGACGGTGCCCAGGTGGGTGCAGGAGGGCACCTGAGGAGAGTTGGGAGGGGGAGTAAAAGCTGCCAGGCTGAGAGGCGAAGGAAGGGCAACCTGGTCACAGGGAACAGTACGTGCAAAGGCCACATGCAAGAAACAGATGTGGCTGTCCCCCCAGGGTCAGCCAGAAGAGCTGGTTTTTCCATGGAGGGGACTGTCCCCTTTACCCCCCACCCCAGGACAGAGGAGCTCCAGGTCCCAACCTCTAGCACTGCCTCCCCTGCCAGATCCTCTTCATGTGTCAACATGGATGGCCCCACACCTTCTGCCCCAGCATCTAAGAACCCACCTGTCCTGGGCCAGAGCCCCGGGTGTCAGCACACAGGCTCAGATCCCAGCAGGCCCACCTCCTGGCTGTGTGACCTGGGGCTGTCAGTTAGCCTTTCTGAACCACTGCATCTTAAATTGAGCTATGAAGACTGAATGACCGGGTTTCCACGCAGCTGCTGTGTGGGGTCCATGCACACGAGCTTGAAGTTCAACAAGACACTGGCTTTGTCCCCTGACTCCCAGCCCTGGGAACAGGACCTCTAACCTACAGGGACACAAAGAATCTCCCAGTGGGTCACCAGGAGGACTGGCATGTTCTATGCCAGCCCTCACCCTGGGTTTCAGGCCACATAGTCAGTAGAGATAGAGCAGAACACTCACTAATTAGGGGACACATCCAAGCGGGGGACCCCTCAGCCGCACAGTCGCTCCTTCAGGCCAGCTTCTTCTGGTGGTGACATGTGACACGACCAGTGGGACCCACACAGACCCCACACCACCTTCTCTTGGTGTAGTGTGGTGTTAGGTGGTGTGCTGGGTAGGCTCTTAGGTCATGACACTGGTTGAGGCTGTGGGCAGAGCGGACAGACACACGTCCAAACACGGGGGTCTGGGGTGTGGCTCAGTGTCAGAGTGCTTGCCTAGCTCACTCGATGACCTAGGATCCATCCCACACCACAAAATAACAAATAAAAGCGGAATGGTTGACCGGCCTTTGCAGATGGAAGGGTTCAATGTCAGCCCTAGGCCACCAAGTTGCCAACTGGTCTTTTACCGAAGCCATGGGCTCAAGGTCAATCTCAGCAGCTGGGAGGTTGGCCAGTCAGTGGTGGCTATGGGCCACCACAGACTCTGTCCAGGCCATGCAGCTGCTTTCTTTATGGTACCGTTTGCCAACACTGGGGCAGCCAAAGGGTTTGGCGGGGTCCAGCAGCCGGTCTTTCTGTGTTTGGTGTGGCTCCTGGGTGGGCACTTGGTGACACCCTGCGCCTGCTCCCACCAGGCCGTGTGCCTGCTTCTTCCCAACCTTTGTGCCTCCAGGTTCCCATCTCCTTCCTTCTGGCCTCTGCCCTAGGAGGCCGGCCAATCTGCTCCTCACACAGCTTCTTCTCCCACTGGAAGTGATGATCTAGTGCTAGGCCCAGAGCGCTGTCCCCCCACACTGTGCCCCAGGACCCCGTGAGCCGGCCTGTAGCTCACCCAAGCTGTGTTGTGCCCAAGTACATTCGTCTTCAGCGGAAGGTCCAAATGGACCTGCCTGCGTGGGCATGGTGAGAGCCCAGGGACAGGTCCTGGTGTGTGGGTGACATGAGGTCTGGGCCACCATCTTGCAGCCTCTGGTGCTCTCTGGCTCTGTCCATGCCTGCTCCCAGGTACGCTGCTGATACAGGCGGCCTTTGGGCAGGGAAGGTTGTCTGCATGGCCACTTGCTGTGCATGGGCAGGGTCCTGTGTCTGGCAGGACCTGTGCCACCCAGGACCCGTTGGCTGTTGTGTGAGATTCTGCTGCAGGAGAGGTGGCCTGGCCCCAGAACCCTAGGGTTTGCCCTGCAGTTCTTCTGCTGAGGTCCGCCATGAACTACACACGGGGCCTTTTGTGTCCCTGCTAGCTGTAATACCCTCTGTCACTTGGCACGGCTCAGGTGGGCCATTGCCCCACGGCCATGTGCTCTGCAAAGCCTCACTCAAAGTCACAGCCTGAGCGTCGCTCTGGGTAGATGTGTCCCAGGGCTCCAGCAGGCCTGCGGTGTGCTTCCCACTCCATGGGAGGAGACGCAGTAGGGAAAGGTGTGTCCGTTACATTGGAGGGGGTGTAGATGGAGACCACCTCAGAGCTTCACTGGTGCAGCAAGTCCCCTGCCTTGTGGGGTTCCTCTCCCCCCAGAGCACCTGTGTCACACCAGAGCCTCCAATGCACTTGCTGCCTCCCACTCACTGGTCAACTCACCTGCTGCCACCAATTGGTGGATGTCACCAAAGGTGAGGTACCTTTAGACTCTGTTCTGATGGCAGGCAGGAGAGTCACTGTGACCCTGGGAGAGCATGTAGGGACACAATACACCGTCCGTGTGGGGCACCTGCTTCTGCCTTCCTTCCACACTGCAGCAGGATACCGTACTAGTTATGTGCAGCGTCAGCCTGGACTGAAACATTCTCAAAACATAATGCTCCGTCGTTGGAAAGTCCAAATGGCTAGGTGGTCAAGGGGGGATGTGACAGCTCTTGTCCACACCGTGCCCTGGGGACCCAGGCTTTTGGGGTGCCCCACTGTTCCCACACATGGCTTCCATCTCAAAGCCCAAGGTGATGACTTGGTCAACCAGAATGGACAGAGCCCTCAGTTCGTTCATTCAGGTTGATAATGTCTGTCCTGTGAGACCTGTAAGAAATGTGCCCAGGTACTTCCTAAAGCTAGGACTCAGTCAGGGGACTGAGATGGGCAGGCAGGAGCAGACATCCCAGAGAGCAGGAGATGCCTGGGCAAAGTGGGGCTGTCAGACTGAGGTCAGACATCTCGGGGCAGTGAGGAGCCTGGGAGCTGGACTGGAAGGCTCTTGGGCTGGGAAGTCTGGGGACACTGAGCAATCGTAGGCAGGATGAAGACTTGTCCCTCTAAGTAACGGGGAGACCAGGAGCTTTTGATCAGAGAGTGCTGTGGGGAGATCGGGACCATGATGACCTGGGTTGAGATCCATCGTACCACCTGGCACAGAACACCAGAGCCCACATGAATTCATTTCCCAATGAAGATGAGAGGGCACACCGTTAGGAATCAGCCCAAACCACAGTCCCAGCCTGTAGAACACTGGCCAGTCACCTCTCTCCTCTGAGTCTCAGTGTCTGTGGACAGGGACTATAAAACATCCCTCCAAATCCAGTCATCCCATGTTACAAAGTAAGGCTGTCAGGACCACCCTGCTAAAGACCCATTTCCAGATTCCCTTGCATCGAGGTGTGACCATGTGAGCACGTTCCGGTCAATAAGCGGTGGAAAAAACACAAAGCAGGGACAGGGTAGTCAGGGAGGGCCTCTCAGAGGAGGTGGCACCCAGCCAAGGCCCGAGTGGAAGGTTTCCAGAGGAGTGAGGCCCTGGGGACATGGAGCAAGGCGTGTGTCTTCTCTCTCTAGACCCAGCCGAGCTGAGCAGCAGGGAGGCAGAGGAGCTGCAGCGGATCAAATGGCACCGGAAGCAGCTGATGGAGGACATCCAGGTGTGTGCACTCATGTTCACACTCACAGGTGCACCCACGCCCACAGTGCTCAGCACACCTTCACCTCCTGCTCACGCTGTCAGACAGCCCAGCCCAGCCTTGGACTCCAGGAGGAGGGGAACAGTGGGGGCCGGGATTTCCAGGGTCTGCTCAGGCTTCAGAGAAGGCCAGGAGCAGGCAGGGAGGGAGTGACTGTGTGAAGCACCTGCTGTGTGCCCACCTCCACCCCTTCATCACCCATGTCATCATGCAGCAGGTGACACCAGCAGTGTGGCCTCCATCAGGCCTCCCCTTTCTCCCAGATGCAGACCATTTGGTCAGGAAAACACCCAATGTGTGCCCGGCACTTGCCAGTTCACCAGATTCTTACCTGTTGGCTCACCTAACTCCCAGTGACCTGAGTCAGGCATTGGTGTCCTTGCTCAGTCCTGCCCCAGGCCCTTTGCATGTCCGTCTGCCTGGGGCTCTCTCCAGCTCTCCTCCTTCTCATTATTTCATTCTCAGCTCAAAATCTCCATCTCCTCCTCCAGACCATCCTGACACCTATACCCACACACACACACACGCACACACGCACACGCTCACACACACACTTAAGATCGCACACCAACCATTCACTCAGCTAGCGTGTGCCAGCAGCTTTCTGTACCGTTGCTCTGATCATCCCCTGCGCTGTTATTTCATTTGCCTCGTGACCCCATGGGCTGTAGCTCCATGAAAGTGGAACCTGGGCCTGTCCTGTCCACGACTGCAGCCCAGCCCCAAGGTCACAGCACAGAGGCACTCGATTAGCACTGAGTGAATCCCCATTACATCTGTGGGAAGCCACTCAGTCAAGATCGCTTGAGCAAGGAGCTGCCTGGGCTCTACACTGGGCTCCCAGGCCCCATGCTGGCCTCGAATCCCAAGACAAGGCCCGGAGTACCCATCACCAGCACCCTATAGATGGTGGGAGAGGGTGGGCACTTGCCAGGCGCTGCTGCCCTGTGAGGGGTGCTGGGCCAACTGCCCCTCCCCCACCAGCTCAAGAGAGGTGATTGGGGGTGGGCTAGGGTCTCCTCTGCCCCTGGCTCCTCCTCCAGGGGCAGGATGAGGCAGGCATGAGTGGGTGTCTATCGTAGGTATGCGTTGGGGAGGCTCAGACCTGAAGCGGGAGCCAGCGGGGCACAGGGTGTCATCACTCCACACCTCAGTGTCTTCTTCCGGTTCCACTGAGTCGCAAAGTCCTCAGAAAATGCCTGGGCTGCCTTGGGCCTGTTGTGCCTGGTGTGTGGCAGGCACTCACCCGAGGGGCGAGGGACAGAGAAAGCTGCGGGAAGCCAGGAGGAGGTGGGGCTGATCACAGGGCAGGAATGGAGGAAGTGGTAGGGAGCCGGGAGCCACAGAGGGTATCTGAGCAGGGCACTTGGTGCCATGCAGTGCTTGGGGAGTGACCAGCAGGTGGAGGGCTTGTTCATGGCCTTGGAGAGTCCTGGGGAGACAGGAAGGCTAGAAACAGGGTCAGTGAGCAGGGGGCTCCCATCCCTAAGGTGAGTCGGTGGGGCGCAGATGGAGCAGCGGGTTTGGAGAGGGGCTTTGCAACTGTGACACATCTAGGGAGGGGATTGGGTGGGGAGAAGGCCAGGGGAAGGGGCTGGGCCACCCACGGTGGAGTGGGAGCTGTGGACACCAGGCCCGACTCTCCTGTGCACCCCCTTCCACAGAAGCTGAAGGACGAGATTGCGGATGTGTTTGCCCAGATCGACTGCTTCGAGACCGCAGAGGAGAGGTGAGGTGCACAGCGCACCACGAGGGGTCCTGGCCCACGGAGAGGAGGTGGCAGCCAGGACACAGGCACAGCGCTGCCCTCCACCCCCTCCCTGGCCTGTCCGGCCTGCGTCCCACTGACTCTGTCCTGAGAGACAGGCCATCCTGCCACCTCCTTCACCCAGTCTCTCCCCTCTCCCCACTGCCCAGCCGTAGCCAGGAGCAGCCTGGGACTGACAGGGGAGAAGGGCTCGGGGCCCAAGACAAGAGTGAGGGAACCAAGGGCCTATGGGACCAGGAGCCTGGCCTGTGGCAGGCCAGGGGCCAGTCCACCACATCCATTCTTCCCTTCCATGGAAAGACTCCTCCTGGCTCTGTGACCTGGAGCAGGTCCCTTCCCTCTCTGGGCCTCAGTCTCCCCATTGTGCAAGGAGAAAGTCAGTTCCTACAAAGTTCCCTGAGCCCCCAGGGAACTGATGCCTCGCCCTATTCCTGCCTCCCTAGAGTTCCACCTTTCCTGCACCCTCCCCACCCTGCGCACACACACACACACACACACGCACACACGCACATTCACACACACGCAGGCAGCACACGTGTGCGTGCACACATGCAGGCACACACACACGCTCAGGCACACACCCTGGGTTCCAGATTCCCTCTTCCGGCTGCAGCAGTAATGATCTTACAAACCTGAGGCACACCTACCATCTCTGACTCCAGCATGTCGACCTCCCCCCTCCACGCAGGGCCAGTAGCAGGCAGTACTCTCACTTCCCTTTTACAGATGAGGAAACTGAGGCCCAGGAGACAAAGGGACTTGCCCAAAGTGGTGCAGCCCCCAAAGGGTGGGACTGAGACTGGCACCCAAGCTCCAGGACCTGTGTGCAGCGCCCCTCTGAGCTGCCCGCCAGCATCTCTGGGCTCCCAAGAGCCACTCCATGCTCGGCAGGGTCCATAGGACGTCAGAGCCTACACTTCTCTCACCCTCCCAGGTGGCCCTGACACAGCACCTGGGGACCCACCTGGAGGATCCAAGGGAATGTTGGCTCCCCTAGAAGGGCCCTGGGGGCTGGAGCGGGACCACAGGGTCCGGGGGCAGCCTGCGCTGACATACCTGTGTCCACAGCCGGATGGCCCAGAAGGAGAAGGAGCTGTGTCTCGGGCGGAAGACGTTCAACATGGACCCCATGAAGGTGCTCTGGGGCCGGGGGGAGGCAGGGAGGTGTGTGCTGGGCAGCTCAGAGCTCTCCATCCCCTCAGGCGACACCATAACTGGCTTGCTAGAGCAGTCCCCAGGGCCTCAGAGCAAGTACAGCCCCACTCCTCCCCTGCCTGGTGGCTCCCTGATCCCTCTCCTGCAGGGGCAGAGACAGGTCAGACCAAGGTGAGGTCAGGACAGCCAACCCAGAGCGCCCAGCTGGAGTCCCTGCAAATTCACCACCTAGCTGAGGCGCTTTCCCCAACCCTGCCAGTCACAAGCATTCATCTGTCACAGCAAAGACCCGCACACACCCACTCATGCACGCTCACACCTGCACACACAGGCACCCGTGCACACACACCCACACACATTCACGCCCATAACATACTCACGGCCCCCCACACCCATGTATTCTCACACATGCATGCTCGCGTGCACACGGAAACACACATGCGTGCGCTCACACCCATGCACGCTCACACGTGCAGCTCCCGTGCTCACTTGCATAAACACAGGAACATCGCACGCATGCCTGCACTCTCACACACACAATACAACTCGCACGTGCACACTCGTGTGCGTGCACACTCACACACATGCACACTTGCTCATGGCCCTGCTTACGCGTCCCTAGTCCCCTGGGCCCATCTCCCAGAGCACCCCTCAGCCTGCTGCCTGTTCCCAGCCACCTCTGCCCTGAAGCAGAAAGGACACCCAGGAACCCTGGGGGACACCACCGAGCAGTCTGCAGCCCCCTCACTTCAGGAGCACAGCTCTGGGCGTCTGGGTGACAGGGAGAGAGGTTCCTGCCACTCAAGGTGGCAGTGGGCATGGTCCACCAGCTCCCACGCCCCCCCCCACAAAAGGACAGGAAAGGTCACCACCGTGGAAGCTATCACCTTCCCACTGTGGGACTTGGGCAATCGCCTCCCCCCCTTTGATTTAGCTGTCTTTTTTTAAACTTTCATATCATACACATAGATTGCTTGCTTGTGTGACGAAATGAAACACTATTTGAAATAATATGAGTTTTAAGGGAACAAAAGGAACGGCTGAATCACTGCCTCTTAGAATTATGAACGCGTACAATCACTGGAGCATATAATCAAAGAAATGCAGGCTGAAGGGGACGGGGAGCACCTGGTGTGAACCTGGTTCACGGCTTGGAACGTCGACTCTCTTTGCACGCCTCCGGTGACAGGGAGCTCGCCACCTCCCAAAGGCTGCTTCTGTTAAGGAGGGAACGACTTCCCAGAACAGGCTGTGCCCACGCCAGGGCTCTGGCCACCGGACCTCCTCCCTCTCTCCTCCTCCGGGGCCCGAGGCTGTGCGGGGGCTGCTCAAGGGCCATGTGTCACCTCCAGGGCATCCAGTATCTCACTGAGCACAAGCTGCTGACCTCCAACGTCCAGGACATCGCCCGGTTCCTGTACAAGGGCGAGGGCCTCAACAAGACAGCCATTGGCACCTACCTGGGGGAGAGGTAAGGGTGCCGGGCCTTGGGGCAGGAAGTGAGGGTGTGCGGGTGCGGGCAGGCCAGCGAGCGAGGGAAGGAGGCCACAAAGCCAGCCCACCCAGGGCCTGGCGGTGTCTGCTCACGCCCCAGCCTCTGCTGCCCCTTTCATTCATTCAACAATGTGCCGTTAGTGTCTAGCTTGTCCAGGTGCCGCGTTCCAAGTCCTGGGTTTATAAGACAGACAGAATCCAGCCCTCAGAGAGACTCATTCTGTGAGGACAGACAGATCCCAATATATGTGAAATGTATATGAAAATGACAAGCTTTGTGGAGAGGAAAGAAGTCAGGGAAGGGGATCTGAGAGCAGAGGACCTAGGCAGGGGGGCTGTGGTTCTAGCTAGCGTGGACAGAAAGGCTGTCATGGAGGGGTGACAGAAACTTTAGGGAAATGAGGAAGGTAGTGCTCACATCTGGGGGAAGAGCTTTCCAGACACTGAGAGCACAAGTGCAAAGGTCCTGGGGCAGAAACAGGCTCAAGAAACAGGAGTTGAAGGAGCAAGAGAAGCAAGGAAGTAGGGAAGAGGTGGGGCTTCATGGAAAGATGGTCTGAGAACACCCTCTGGATAGTGGGTGGGCATGGACCGTAGGAGACACGGGTAGAGATAGGCCAAGAAGCCAACCTCCCCAAGGACACATTCTCCTTGCTAAGTGAGCTGGAACAGGGATGCAGGGTGGCTGTTCCTGCCACAAGAGCTGGGAGCTCTGCTTCTCCTTGAGGTTCCCACAAGGAAACTGGCTAGGGACTGTCAAGGATGTAACCTGACCCAAGCCAGAGCTTCCCCAGGGAGACCCTTGATGCTGAGCAGAGGATGAGGCAGGCCACAGGGTGCAGGCCCATAGGGTACGGTATGGGACAGGGCCCGGGAACAGGGATGTCCCCCAACTGCCTGACCTCAGCCCCTCCGAAAGGTGGGAACCAGCACTTCCTAAGTGTGTCCACCCCCTTCTCCCTGCCCAGGGACCCCGTCAACTTGCAGGTCCTGCAGGCCTTCGTGGACTGCCACGAGTTCGCCAACCTCAACCTCGTCCAGGCTCTCAGGTGAGCCAGAGCCAAGGTCAGTGAGGCCAGCGCACACAGCCTCACCATGCTGATGTTCCAACGGAACTCACTCGAGTCGCTTTCTGGGTCAGCGCTGCTTTGTTAATTTGAGTAACACAGCTCGGTGTGCGGTGCCCTTTGTCCGGCTGTTTTCTGATTAGGATGCTATCTGTGCTTTCACAGCGAGGGGTGGGGTACCAGGGAATGTAGATTAGGTACGCAAACTCTAAAGCCAGGTTGCCCACTTCAGACACCAGTCTGTCACTCACTCCCTGTGACCGGGGGCAAGTCACAAATGAAAAACTTCTCCGTGCCTCAGTTCCCTCTCTTTAACATGGGGAGGGCGTGATAAGGACTAAATGCAAAGGTGTTTAGAAGTAGGCTTGCTGCTGCGGGCCAGTGCTAAGTCCTGGTAAGACTTATGGCTGCTTAGCAAGTCTTGCTGCTAAGGTAAGGCCTGGAAAATCAGCTCCCAAGAAGAGATTGTTGATATGGGCTTTGAAGGGTGAATAGGAGTTTGCAAGGTTGGGGACTTCCCTCCACCTCCATGCTCTTTAGAGGAGTGGAGTAGGATGCTGGGGAGGCTCCCGTAGTCACTCATTCAATGGTTTTTACAGTGCAGTTTCTGGTGCCCATGCCCGTGTGAGCCCAGCAGGGAACACGAGAGGGGCAGGCACAGCCATCATGCTCAGAAAGCTTATTGCTAGCTTCCAGAAGGTTCCAAGAAAAGGAGGAAACTAGCCCAGGGTGCAACAGCCAGGTCCCAGGGCACAGAAGCCAGACCTGGAGTCACAAATCCTGTGGTCAGGGCAGCCTGGGGCACAGTCCGTGCTGAGGCTCAGATGGGCCCATCGGGGTGCAGGCTCAGGCTCCAGATCCAATGGAAAAGGCGTTTCCTGGACATCCTGTGCTTGGTACCTGCACGTCCACCCTGTCCCATCTGTGGGCTTCGATGGCAGTCACGGTTTTTCCTGTGCACAGGGAAAGAGGCAGCGCTGCTGTCGGGTCCCACTGAGAACCCTCGTCTACTCTATCCCCATCTGCCCAGTCCCCACCTGCCCTGTCCCCACCTGCCCAGTCCCCATCTGCCCAGTCCCCATCTGCCCTGTCCCCACCTGCCCAGTCCCCACCTGCCCAGTCCCCACCTGCCCTGTCCCCACCCCAGGCAGTTCCTGTGGAGCTTCCGGCTGCCCGGTGAGGCTCAGAAGATCGATCGTATGATGGAGACGTTCGCCGCTCGCTACTGCCTCTGCAACCCTGGCGTCTTCCGCTCCACAGGTGCTGACTGGGGAGGCACACATTCAGACTGCCACACACGCGTCTGCTCTGCAAGGCACCACGGCCACCGCACCCCTCATGCTTCCCTAAGTTCCCAACCTGGGGACCCAGACCCTCCACAAACCCGCGCTGAGCACCCACTCCATGTCACGCCTCGGCTTGGTGTTCTTCTGGCAGAGCTGCCTTGGGACGTAGACTTAGGGGAGGTGGCAGGGAATGACAGTGCTTGATGTTAAAACAGCAGAACCCTATCTGAGTGCAGGGCTAGGTGAGTCCGCATGTCCAGGATGGTTTCCCAGAGGTGGTAAGGTCTGAATGAGGTTTTGAAGGATGAATAAGAGTTCTTCAGGAGCTTATGGGAAGAAAGGGCCTTTTTTGGCAGGAGTTTCAGTTTAAACAAAGACTCAAAAGCATGAAATAGCCTGGGCAGGGTATTGGGGACAAAGGAGATCAAAAGGTTCATCCTCCATATCCTCTCCCAAAGTAACCAAAGTCCACACGGAAGACCCCCAGGGGATAGGGTGAGAGGGAGGCCCCACAACCACTTCCTGTGGCCTCTTTGGCTCTGGAGTTATCACAGTACCAATTCCGACTATGGAGCAGTCCCTGCAGGCTCCGTGCACGAATCTTTGCATCAGGTCTCCAAGGCCGGTGGAGAGAGCAAAGAATCCAGACTCAGAGAGAAGAGGTGGCTTATCGATGGCGCGCCACCTTGGGGCTGTGTCCGTGGACAAATCCTGTCCAACACTTGCCCTGCTCAGTAGCCACATATCAATTGACACCCGTCATTTAATGACAAGTAACCATTCCAAGGGTGGGGACTGCAGCAGCTCCAGGTGCTCAATAAGTATCGCCAGGCAGAGAGGAAGGCATTTTCCAAGCGCCAGATTGGAGCCTGTCCAATTAAGTCTTAATTTTGTGACCTTTAGCATAACTTAGCGTCCCTGTGCCTCAGTTTCCACATCCATAAAACGGGGTGGCAGCAGCACCTGCCTCCTCAAGAGAAAAATCATCGACGTTCTAGAACATGGAGCTCCTTCCAAGAGGGCACTCTGAAAGTCACAGGAGGGGAGGTGAAGGTCAAGGGGGGCGGCACTTCCTGAGGACAAGGGGGACTGGACTTCCCTGGCTCTGGATCTGGGGGTCTCAATATCCCCCAAAAGACCCAGAGCAGCAGTCTCACCCCCCAAGCCTCCCTCCCCACACGGGGAAGTCTGCAAAATGGAGCAGGCGTGCCACGTCTGAGTGGTGACAATAAGTGAGCTCCCAGGAGGCAGAGAACAGTGTGGGCAGGGGCTGGGAGGCTGGAACAGAGCTGAAAGGCAAGGAGGACTTAAAAGGGTAGAGAGGGAAGGCGGGCAGCCCAGCAGGGGCTCAGTAGGCAGACATGCAGGGCTGGGGACTGACAAGTACAACAGAAGTTTTGGGCGTGGGGAGGCAGGAGGCCATGAGGGCGGGAGGGAGGCTGGGCCTCAAATGCTGGGCTGAGCAGGGTCAGGCCTGTGACCACTGCCCCATCCTGCAGACACCTGCTACGTGCTCTCCTTCTCCGTCATCATGCTTAACACCAGCCTGCACAACCCCAACGTCCGAGACAAGACGCCCTTCGAGCGCTTCGTGTCCATGAACCGGGGCATCAATGACGGAAGTGACCTGCCAGAGGAGCAGCTTCGGGTGAGGCCCGGGGACCCCTGAAACAGGCCACTCACAGAGGGGACACTGCTGAGCACAGGGGACACTGCTGGGATGGACCACCCAGGCTGGCAACTATCTTGAGCTGGACCACCATAAATGCAGTGGGTCATCTAGAGTGGCCCCATCTGGATGCCTCGAGATAGACCACTAGGAGGCCCCCAGGTGTGACCTCTCAGGGACTCTGAGCAGCCTGTCATCTACACCTTCCATAAAGGGGGCCTCAGGCTGGGGAGTGGCTCAGTGATAGAGCACCCACCCAGCAAGTGCAAGGTTCTAGATTCTGTCATTAACACTAAGGAAAAAACCAGACTCGGTGGCTCAAGCCTGAATCCTAGCTACTCAGGAGGTAAGAGATTGGGAGGATCAAAGTTCAAGGCCTGCCAGGGTAAAAAGTTTTCAAGACCCCCCCATCTCAACCCACGGCTGGACACGGTGGTGCATGCCTGTCATCCCAGCTACTTGGGGAAACACAAATAGAAAGATTTCAGTCCCAGATATAAAGCAAGACCTTATCTCAAAAATAACCGCAGCAAAAAGGGCTGACAGAGTGGCTCAAGTTGTAGAGCGCCTGCCTAGCAAGCATGAAGCCCTGAGTTCAACCCCCAGTATCACCAAAAAAAAAAAAAAAAAAAATGGGACTGGGGTTGGAGAGGAGCATCTCCCACAGCTCGCATCTGTTTCTCAGAGTCCTGGATTCGCAGCGGGTCAGGGCTGAACACTCGGGGGCCCAAACCTCTCCCTCCCTTCGAGGGAGGAAGCAGAGGTCCACGAGCCCACACTAGCTCCCAAGCCTCCTGTCCCCTCATCTAATATTTCTACCTCCCACCACACTCATGAGGACCTGGGGACCACACAGGTCCTGCCCTGACCAGGTTCAGATGTGGTAGGAACGTGATCTGATTACAACCTAATTACTGATGGCACACTGGCTGGAGCAGGGGGCATAGCTATGGGACACAAAGGTTCTGCTTTTGTCCTCCTGGGGGAGGGGGAGGTGCTATCCTGGAAGCCTCCCCAGAGGAGGTGACTTCTGAACTGGGCCTTGATGGTTGGAAGGGAGTATTTTCAGAGGAGAAACCAGGAAAGAACACTCCATAAGAAGGTAGCAGCAGAATGCAAGCCTGGCCTAGCTGGGGAGGGGCAGGTGGCCAGCGGGGCTGGTGAGAGATGGGCCCACGTGGGCAGGGGCTGGTGGCAGGCTGAGCTAGAGCATCCAGGGTTTTGAACGCCCCTCAGGAGCAACATGGAGCCAGTGGAAGTTTGTAGACTTTGGGGGCGGGGACGGAGAGATGCTGGGCCTGGCTTAGCAAGGTGAACCCACAGTTCACTTCAAGGACTGCAAACACCCCAGAACTCAAGGGCACTTCACCCCCGTCCAGGATCTGAGCCAGCAGAGAGGGGAGCAGGAACATGACACCCTCCCAGCTAAGCACACTGAAGACCCCCTGCCTCGGAAGTCTGGAATGAGTCTGGGCCCCTCAAGGATAAGCGCTGCCCCCCAACCCACAGCCACCTGGTCCCCAGAGGAGACCCTTTGTCATGGAGGGGCCACTATACAGCAGGAGGGTTTCAGAGCAGCCTAGAGTGCTGGTCAAGCACACATCCCTCACTTGCTTGCTGGGCGACCTTGGGGAAAGACTCACTGAGGTCCAAGCCCCTATTCCCTGGGCCAGGAGAGGCGGGACGACACAGCTCGTCACAGAGCTGCTGTGAGTAGTACTTGTTTTCAACGTGAAGGGCAGAGACTGCCAGCTACATAATCCAGGCTCTAAATGGTGCTTGTGTCGCCATGAAACTGATTAATAATGAAATGAACAGCCCTTAGTGATGGCCTAAGCTGTCCCCGGTGCTGGAGGATGGAGAACTTGCCTGCTCGGGGCAGGAAGCTGGGCACACCTTGGCTGGCAGGGGCTGTTAATGCCTCCCCAGCAAAGGCGCCATCACTGCCTCCTGCCCCCGCCAGCCTCTGCTCCTTCAGTGTCCCCTCCCTGCTCACTTTTCTAAGTCAAGCCTTTTGTTAACAACAATGCCTGCATATTACAGAGCCTGGAACTTTCTCCTTGCAGGCTTTCTGAGCCTATTATCTCAATTTAGCTTCTGTTCCACCCAGGGGGCCTGCGAGGGCTGATGGTCCTTTCTATCCCAGAGAGGCAGGGTGAGCATCAGAGCCAGGTGCTGCCTCGGTTTCTGGTGGAGGCCTGACCTCTCCGAGTCCCAGCTCACAGGATTAGTGCAGAAATAAAAGTGAGGCCTTTAGCAAGGTGCCTGGAGTAGTTGGAATAACTAATTAATCTCGAAGCTTCTCTGGGAGCCATCAAAGAGCCCACAGGCCTGGTCCTGCCATCCGAGACTTTCCTAGGGAGCTAGGTAGATTTGGGGTCTTCTTACCTCACTGGCCTCATTTTTGTCATTTGTTCAGCAAGAGCTCGGCATTAAGCACCTTTGGTTAGTCAAACTCGGCCACTTAGCACAGCAGGTTCTCCACGAAGTGACTCCACCCTGGGCCTTGTCAAAAAGGATGTGTCATGCTGTTAAGTAGCCCAACGTGAAAAATTAAATTTGCACAGACGTGTGACCTAAAGAGAGGTCACCCAAGGGCACATAGAGCCCAGGAGGGTCGCAGGTGAGAAAGGCTTTGAGAGGCTAGTGGTGGCAGTGGGAGGCAGGTGAACTGAGCTGGTCTTGCAGAGTGGCCTAGAGGCTCAGGACACAAGGGCAGAGTCTGGGTGCCCAGGGGTGGGAACTTAATCCCAGCTCTGCCCTTGGTGTGTGACCTTGGGAGCCAGCCTCAGGCTCCTCATCTGCACAGTGGGTTGGCAACTCAGATGCATGATATTTTCCTGAGAAGCAAGGGGGCTGGCCCTGGGCAGGTGTCTGGGAAGTGCTGGCAGAGAATCTGCACACCCCGAGAAAGAGGTTGGAGGAAGAAGGACAGCCAAGGGACATGGAACTCCAACCTCTGGTAGTACAGGTGGAGAAACTGAGGCCCAGCAGGAGGAGAGTCTCCCAGTTCTGTGTGTCTTCTACTGGAGGCAGCCCCGAATTCTCAGGGCCTGCCCAGGCGACTGTCTGGGCAGGCCGTGTCCGAGACACAGTTCTCAGCATCCCATGTTCTCACCGAGTCATTGGTTCCCAGGGCACAGCCACAGACATTGGGACCAGGAGAGGTGGCAGCCAGAGGCCTCATGCTCTGTGGGGAGTCCCAACTCAAACCCATATCTGACTCCAGAAGGATCCCAGAGCCCTCGCTTTAGCACGATTTGGGAACAGGGGTTTTGGCCATGCTTCCCAGCTGCCAGTTACTTCCTGGCTAGGAGAATCTCAACTCATGTCACGCAAAAGATCAGGGGCTCAATTTGCGTTCAGATGGTCAGCTTTAGGCTCGGCTAGATCCAGGTGCTCAGGGACACCTGTGCTCCCTCTGGTGGCTCCACCTCTCAGCAGCTCTCTCCTTAGCTCTCTCCTTCATGTTAGCTTTCCTCTCAAACAGGCTCTACCCAAGTCGTGGCAGAGGTGGTCCAGGCAGCACCAGGCTTCATGTGGACTCAAAGCCATCTTTCAGAACTATTTAAACTCTAGTACCTGAATTAAGGCTTATTGACTGGCTTGGGTCACATGAACCAGTCACTGTGGCCTGTTGGAGGAATGTTCTGGGGAGCCAGACGAGAGTCATTCTCCCCCTCCTGGAGCCTGGTGTGTGTGCAGGGGAGAGAGGTGTGACCCCCCCTGGACAGAAAAGAGACTGGAGATGATTCTCCCTGGACGTAGGTTGTGGCAGACGCAGCTAAGCTGCTGAGAGGGGCCACTGTATTCCTGCACACAGACATGTAACCAGGAGTTCCAGGCCACAGGCCCAGCTCCAGGGGTCCCACAGGTCAGGTCTGGCCAGTCACCCCAACACACCAAGTAAAGAGACGCGTGGTGGTGAAGGGCTGAGAAAAGGAGGTTCACACAGCCCGCGCAGCCGTGGGAAGAGGCGAAGTAAACACTCCGCCGTCCTCTGTGCAGACGTGACCGTTAGGTTTGAACAGAGGGAGAACTGGGGAGGGTGTACATAATTAGGCAGTCCCAGGCACAGGGTGGCCTGGTCACTCGTTCTCTCAGTTCTGGTTCTTGGGAGTTTCAGAGAACTTGTTCTCGCTGTCATCATTTGAGTAGGGCAATCTGGTCCCCACAAGATGACTGCCCCTGCTCCAGGGTGCAGCCTCAGTGTCATAGGTCACTGTCCTCACTCGGGGGGGGGGGGTCTGTCCTGCGAGACTCTGCTGATCCTTTCCTCAGAGGTAGTTTCAGTCCCTTGTCCTAAAGATGTTATTGATCAGTCCTGTCCTTCCCGGAACCCAAGGTGACCGCAGGAGAGAGACTCAGAGCACAGGAGACAGATGCAGAATGGAGGCAGGGGCGCCAGGCTTTTCTCCTGCTTTCAGTTACTTTGTGGGTCTAGGCGAGGAACCGGTTTGTTTCCAGAAACAGTTTCTAAGACCTGTATTTCTGCATAACCACCCACCCACCCACCCAGAGAGGATGGCTACCTGGTTGGTGACAGTGGATGCAGGGTGTTTACAGATACAGGAAATGTGGGTGAGTGAGCTATTTTCTCTGGGGTGGGTGAGTGTACAAGCTGATATGGTGACCACAAAAGCTTCCGGGTCCCCCTATGGGGTTTGTGGAGGCTGAGGCCCTTTCTGCACCCATGCAACCTCCTAGGCCCTCCCCAATATTGTGTCTGCTGCTAGCTCTGCCGTCAGGGCTTTTTTCCACCAGCCAGACCACTTGGGGATTCCAAAGGTGAGGCTGGGGATCAGGTAGGGACTCCCCCATAAGAGACTGGTCCCTGTTCCTCCTCTTCCCTGAACCATCCATCCCGGCTGACCTCAGAGAAGTATAATCTGGGCTGGAGGACACACCTGAGTCCCACCTTCATCACAAGAAGACCCCCTTCTGGCCAGACCTCTGGGCTCTGAGGCAGAAAGGACCTTCAACAAGCAAGATACATTTTAAAACTTGGGGAGAACCGAACTAGACTGGTGGAGTCATCCGATCAACAGCACACAGATGCAATGAAAGAAAGTGGCTTAATTACTTCCCGAGTCCTGTCTGGCTTTAATGAGCAGAAATAGAGATGGTCTAGAACATTTTTCCACACTTGGAAGGCCACGCAGGATACTCTGGGGCCCGATGGTTCATGGCACAGCACTCAAGGCTATGGGAAACCAGCATCCACTCCTTCCAGGGGCCACTCCAGTGACAAAGAGCTCCTCAACCTATGGCATTGCCCCTTGCATATGTCACCAGCTCTTGCTGCCAGAAGGTTCTCCATGGAGAGCTGAAATCTGCTCTTGGGACCCTCCATACCCCAATCCTCAAAATTGGAGCCCATCCAGACAGGGTTGCTAGGAGAAGGGCCGTGGAGAGCCACAGTCAGCATCCCACCTGGGGCCTCTCCCAAAGCAGCCAGTCCCCCCCTCCCCAGAGGCTCCTCTGTGTCCCCAACCCCAGAGTGTGTCTGGAAGTCTCTGAAGCTCACCTAAGCAGAAGAGGGCCTCCCTACCATGGATGCCACCCAAGTAGTACACCTCCCCTCAGGCTGCTGTACCCAGGGTGTGTGTTCATGCATGTGTGACACGTGTGTGTGTGTGCACGTGTGCCTTGGAGGAGCTAACCCCACTCGCTCTGCCCTACAGTTACACAGGGGGAGTCAGGACAAGGGTGTGGAGGAAGCCAGGCTAGGATGGAAGGGGAGCACCGATGGCCTGAGGGAACCACAGGGGCCAGTAAGAGCTAACAGGACAGGAGAGGGTTTGCCAACAGGAAGGTGACCTGCCCGAGCCACCCAGGTCAGATGGTCCAGGCCCGGACTCAGTGGACTCATCCTGGTCTTTCCTTCTTCTTGGACAGAACCTCTTCGACAGCATTAAGAGGGAGCCCTTCTCCATCCCTGAGGACGACGGCAGTGACCTCACCCACACCTTCTTCAACCCCGACCGTGAGGGCTGGCTGCTCAAGCTGGGTGAGAGGCTGACGTGCACACGCTTACATACATGCAAGCAATGGCTGACACACGTTATACATGCTCAACACGGCCTCGAGGGTTGGATTGGCACAGCATAGCAGCCTGCCTACTCTCTTCATTCATCTGTCCATCTGTCTATCTAGTCAGCCATTCATCCATCTACCCACCTACCTATCTACCCATCTGCCCATCCTTTCATCTCTCCATCCACCCACCCCTCCATCTGCTCATCTTGAGAAGGAAGGGACTGTGGGGAAGTCTGAGCTTTAAGGGGACAGGAGGCAGGGGACCCGTAAGGATTTTGTCTCTCTCACTGGAGGGATGGGCTCTTAGTGGAGCACCGTTTGTTCAGGATGTACAAAGTGTGTACAAGATGCCTGTGTGCAACCTGGCCTTCTGGTGGTTTTTCTGAGGAAGCTAAGGCCGAGCGAGGTTAGATCACCTTCCTGAGGCTACATAGATAGCAAGTGGCATATTTAGGGGCCCAGAGGGCTGGGTGTCCTTGAAAGAGGGAGGGAGTGTGACAGGATGTGGCTAGGGGAGCTTCAGTGGGTATGACAGCGACAGGGTCTAGCAGGGAAGCAGCAGCAAGGCTGCCCTGCCTCCTCTACACACACTCCCAGGAGCCTCCCGCAGGGGGTCCCTTCCAAGCAGATGAGGATCAGGGGCCTGCACCTGGGCAGCCTCCAGCGCCTAGTGTGTGCCACACTCCAGATGCTCGTGGAGCCCTACACCTCTTCACGGCCACACTCCACTGTCCTCCTACTGACTACTCGGCCCCTGTCCTGTCTCCGCTGCCTGCTCTCAGCCCCAGGGAAGCTCTAAGTCACAAAGCCCACCCCAGGCAAGAGATAGGCCTCAGAGGCTCGCAGCCCTGTGTTTGAACCCTGCTCCTTCGCCGTGTGCTGGTGATTGGGTGTCTCAGCCTCAGTTTTTGCAGCTGTAAAATGGAGCCAATGATCCTTAAAAGCAGCTGGTGTGTAGCAGAGTGGTCCAGAGCTCAGGCTGTGGAATAGGACACTGGGGTGCAACCGCAGCTCTGCCACAGCACCACGGCAGATGACTTAGCTTCTCTGTGCCTCAGTTTCCTCATCTGTGAAATGAGGTTTACCCAGAATCCCGTCCTCCTAGGGGGATCAATACATAAGTATTTTTAAATCCTCTCGAACCAGGCCTGGCAGATAAAAGCTGCCAGGCTTAGGGCAGAGCTGGGCGGGGAGTAGGCTGAGGGTGAGTAGGGAGAGCAACAGCAGAGAAGAGCAAGGAATGGCGACCACTGTTCCCAAGGCCTGATCACAGAGAGCCAGAACGCAGATCAGACAGCTCAGGTCAGGGGCCACTAAGGCTTCTGGGTGTAGAGGGATGAATGGGGGGGGGGGCGGGACTGTGATGGGAGCTGGGGAATGAGCTCAAGGTGCTGCTCTTCCATCAGTGGGGGATCCCAGTGGCCTGGGAGGAGGAGGGCTGACCTGCTGCACTATGGACCTCTTGCAGGAGGCCGTGTAAAGACATGGAAACGACGCTGGTTCATCCTTACTGACAACTGCCTCTACTACTTTGAGTTCACCACGGTGAGCCAGGCCACCCCCACCCACCTCCCATGAAGCAGTCAACTAACAGAGCATTCAGTCCCCATTTTTCAGATGGGGAAAACTGAGGAGCAAAAGGAGGAGGGGCGGCTGGGCAAGGTGCAGGGTAGAGACTGGGCTTAAAGCTGCATCACTGAAGTCCTGACCTCAGCTCTTCCCCCACCTGGGCAGCCTTAGGAGATGTACCCACTCTTTTTGGGGGCTGGGGAACCCCCCAAGCTTACTCCTTGACCTCAGTTGGCCTCGAGGTTCCATTTCCTGACCCTGACCTTTCTTCCCCTTCCCCGTAGGACAAGGAGCCACGGGGAATCATACCACTGGAAAACCTCTCAGTACAGAAGGTGGAGGACCCCAAGAAGCCAGTGCGTGTCCAGGCGGGGCCCAGGGGAGGAGGGAGGGCGGGAAGGGAAGCAGGGAGGTGGGGATCTCTGCATGGTCCCTCTTGGAGCCAAGGATGGACAGGTCAGTGTCATCAAAAGGACGTGGCTAGGTCATCTCACAGAGCTGGGGATCTTGATTAAGTCCCTGCAATTTTCTGAGCCTCAGTTTCTCCATCTGTTACATGGGGATTTTAGGGAGGCTGGCACATAGTAAGTGCTCAGGGTCCCCTCCCATGGCACGGGAAGCAGACCTGTTGGGAGTAGGGGCATTGTGCCCTGGGTCGCCAGCTGTTTTGTCACAGCAGGGTGCTGGTCCTGCCCAAGTGTGTTGTCCCACTGAGGCCACTGGGAGTCAGCCCAGCCTGCTCCTCCCCCTGCCCTGCTCTCCTCTTTGCACCCCGCCCCTGCCAGTTCTGCCTGGAGCTCTACAACCCCGGCTGCCGGGGCCAGAAGATAAAGGCTTGCAAGACAGACGGGGATGGCAAGGTGGTGGAGGGCAAGCACGAGTCCTACCGGATCTCGGCCTCCAGTGCCACGGAGCGTGACCAGTGGATCGAGGCCATCCGGTAAGGGATAGCCCTCCCATGGGACGGCCCCTGGCACCTTCCCAACGTCCCTGCTTCGGTGGGGTCTCCTTTCTTGTCTGTAAGGGCCTAGCTCTGGGGTCTCCCTACTGCTTCTAGCATGCCAATCCCTTCTGTGGGCATGTCCTGCCAGGCTTGGAGGGGTTGGTGGAATGCCAAGCCAGCCACCTGGAAAGCGTGTGTCCAGCACCTGGCACTAGGCGAGGGCTCTGAGTGGGGCTCTCATTAGCATCACCGGCGCTGGTTGAGATGGAGGGAGGGACTTTCCAGGTAGAAGGACCTGAGTGGACAAAGACAAGAAGGCCGATCATGGGTGGCCTCCTGGATAGCATCCCAGAGTCCAGGTGAGGCTGGGCTGGAAGGACACAAGCAGCAGGAGCCATAGCGAGCAGCTTTGGTTTCTTCTGGAGCACTAGGGAGCCACAGACTTGCAAGTAGGAGAGGCATTGCCCAGGTGAAAAAAAACCAAAGATAGGGCCAGTTCTGAAGTGCCAAGATAGGCAATGGGAGGCGGGTGTTGTCACTAGAGTACAGGAGAGAGAGGCTCCTGTGGCCACTGACTGGGGAGAAAGGCAGGAAGGGGCACCTGGGTGGGGCAAGATGACAAATGCTCTGGGCCTGACTCAGCCAGCGGGGGGCATGGGTGAGGGCAAAACCTGGTGGCCACAAGATCAGAGTGCTCACTGCTGGCGGCGGCTGTGTCCCAGGGACGTGCAAGATGTTTTCACTCAGGCCTCAGACCCACTCTTATCAGATGAGAAAACAGACAGGCCAGAGAGGACAGGGATTTGCCCAGGGCCACACAGCTGGGTGGGGGAGGACAGAGCTGAGCCCAGTAAACAGGTCTTCTGACCCTGTCCAGGCTCTCCTCCTCCACCTGGGTCTCCAATGGGAGCGGGGTCCATGGGACACTGGGTGAGGCTATCAGGACTTCATCCTTGTTGGGGTCCTGGGCCTTTTTCCTGCAGCAGGACAGGCTGGCACCTCTCTGGGAGCCCCACACCATCCCAGGAAGTCCCACGTTCAGTGGCCAGCACAACCCTAAAACCTCATTTGCTCTCACTCCAGAGCAAGCATCACCCGAGTCCCCTTCTATGACCTGCTCTCTGCTCGGAAGAAAAAGATTGCCAGCAAGCAATGAGCTTCTCAGGAGGTGACACTGGAGACCGGGTGTCCTGGGGCCCCCATGACCTCTGGAATCTGGAGACTCACCTCCCAGCCCATGTACCATTTCCTGGTCACAGACCTCCCCCCTCCCCATGCTGGAGCTGACTGTGGTGGGAGACAGAGCCCAGAAAGGAGGACAGGAGCCCCCGAGAGCACGAGTTCACAACAAGGGCCCTGGCACCAGCCACTGCCAGGCCCCCATCTTCAAATTGAGCTGGGCCCTCTCAGCAGGATCAGGGAGCTCAGACCCTCAGACAGGACCCTGGGAGGTGCCAGGAGCCCAGGGCCTAGAGCACTGCAGCCTTGTACCCTATCTCTGACCTGCTGTGTACTCTCTGGCCAAGGCACGCCCCATCTCCGGGTTTTGCAAAACTGCAGCATTTGAACTAGAAGTGTCTTGGCCCAGCCAGCTCTGTGGCCCAGCTTCCAGCTGGAGATGGGATGCTGGTTTACTGAGCCAGGCTGGTTGGGTTGAGGCTGCTGAGGGGAGCAGGCATCCCCTATCCCCAATGATGTCAATTTGAGGAAAGGAGCAGGAAGGACCCACAAGGATATGACAGCATCCAGACAGCCAGGACTCAAGCAGGACTGTGAAGCCAAGAAGAGAGAGCTCTACAGCTGTGGTCAGCAGGAAGGCTGCCTAGAGGCAGCAGCCAGGACAACAAAGGGCTGGTGCATAAAGAGACAGACTCTCACCCATGGCTTCCCTGCTAGATTACCACCCATGGTGGTGAGGGGCCTTGCAATGGGTCCTGGCAACCCCAAGATCCTCTGCAGCCATATGGCAGAGTAGGGCTGACTTCCCAGTACCCAGTGGGCATCTCTGTCCCTGGGGAGGCCTGCCTGAAGGAGGATTCTGCGAATAGACTTCTCAGAAGAACATCTCTCACCCACACAGACCAGGGGAGCCCCTGAAGGGAAACTCCTGCCTGCTGCCAGCCTGAGTGGGCAAACCCCACTCAGCCCCAGGAGCAACTGGCAGGTTGCCAGGCAGCCATCCTCCTCCTTGGCCCCCCTCCCCAGTGTACACTTTCCACAGGGTCAGGATAGAGAACCCACAGTGGGAGGCGTGAGATCCTGTCTGGAGGTCTACAAGCACCAGGGAGCCATGCCAGCTGCAGGAGAAGCCTTGGTGGACTCAGGACTTCCACAGATCACTCCAGCCTGAGAGTCGGGGGTCTGAAGTCCTCTCCTGCCTCTGGCACATGTGGGCTGTGTGGCCTTAGTCCACTCCTGTCCCTCTCTGATCCTCAGCTTCCTCCCCATAACTGAGGGTGGGACCATCGGTTTATTTGCTGGGTATGAGTGGTTGTTCTAATGCTCACTCAGAAGCAAGAATAAACCTCATGTTCCAACTCATGAGTGGGGCTGTGTCCTTCCGTGACCATGTCTGCTGTCCCTGGCCCCTCCCTGGCCCCCGACCTTCATCTTTTTCCCAGACAGGGAAAAGTGAGTCCTCCCGGATCCCCAGAGCCTCATCCTCTTGACAGAAGTCCCCAGGGCCTGGGCTTCCTACAGAGCTTCCTTGGGCCAGGGGCAGGGCTGGGCTGGTTCTGCCATGTCCAGGGAAAGGCCCGGGAATGTCCAGCAAACAGGAAGAGCTGCTGCTGTGGGATGCAGATAGCAATCTCCCTGTCTGTGCGAGGATGTGAGCACAGGCTGGTTCCCGTGATCACACAGGGCAGGGTTTGGTAAGCTTTCCTTATTTGGTAGCCTACAGACTCAGCACCTGTGCTGTGCCAGGCACTGTCCCACACTGTGGCAAAATGAGACAGAATCCCTGTCTCACTGGGGCTCACAGTCTAGTGGTCCTGGGTCCTAGGACTCTAGGCATTTGCCTTGGGATGTTTAAGGCACCAAAGTCACCTCCACACCTCCCTAACCCAGCCCCCGGGAAATCCCACCATTTGGGGCCCTCCCAAAAGACCTTGAGGAAGGAGTTACCCATGTTTCCTTTCCTTCCTCCCTCCCTTCCTTCCTTCCCCCCTTCCTTCCTTGCATCCCCCTGCCTATTGAGCACCTAGTGTGAGTTTCCTACACAAAGCCCATGATCCAAAGATGACCAAGGCCAAGTTCTTGCTCTCGGTGAGCTCAAGTCCAGTGGGAGAGGCAGGTGTGAATGGCCAGTTCTGGGCTGAGCTAGACAAGTGTTGTTGCTGAGGGGGCCCAGGGGCAGCGGAGGGCTGGGCTGGACAGAGGGGCAGGCAGAGAGGCCGCTCAAAGGAGGGTGCCTGAGAGTGAGCAGCGAGGCTGGGAAAGGACAGGGGCCTAGGTTGCAGAGAGCTACCTCATGCCAGCCTCCCCCGGACTGCGAGCTCTGTGCAGGTCTGACTGCACAGCTCAATGCCTGGCACACAGTAGGCACAAAGCGATTGCTGCTTTGACGGGCGTTGACTGGCAAAGGCCTCCAGCGTCAGTGGTCAGTGTCTTGCCTGTGAGGCTGAGAGAGGGAGACTGCTGCTGGGAATGGGGAGCGGCCTGAGTGCCAGCAGGGCCACTGCCACTGTCCAGGCCCAGACACAGGACCCTCTTACCCCTCTGCAGGAAGCTGCCATTCCGCACTCCTCCCTCCGGGCAGCAGGGGGCTCCCACCACACGCGGATGAGAGCTTCTGAGGCTGCAGCCAAAAGGAGGCCAGGCCTGGACGCCTGTCCCTTGCGGGGGCTGAGCCTCTGTCCAGCATAGCCCCAGCCTGGGAATTATGGATGGGAGGCACTGGTCTACAAGGGCCTGTGGGCTTTAGTAGCCTAGCCGAAGCCCATGGACGTGGCCTACTGGGAGCAGTGCCCCCTCCCAGCTGTGCACCCCGAACTAGGTGCATTCCCTCTCCAGAAGTGATTTTCCCCCTTGAGGGCTGGGGCCAGGTGATTCCCATGATACAAACCTTTAAGGAGACCCCCATGCAGGGGGATCTCAGGCAGGCACCAGTACCACACAGCTCCTACCCTAGGACCCTGAAAGCCAGTTACCGTGAGAGGCACCAGAGGGCAGCAGTGAGCCACACATTAGGCCTGGCTTCAAGGCCCAACTCTACCCCGTGTCTTAAGCAGATTTCCTAAGACCTCTGGGCCTAAACGCCCCATGGAAATAATTAAATCTATGCAAAATGCTCAGGACAGTGTTGAGCAGCTACTCAGGGGTAATGCTACATGGTATTATTATTATCATTATCAGCTTACGTTGAGACAAAGCAGAGGAGAGATCTGGGGAGGCTTCTTGGAGGAGGTGCCATGAATGATAAGCCCAGTGGAGACCTGGGTCTTCCAGCTTGGGAGGGTGGACAGTAGGAGACAGGACAAGGATGCCGGAAAAGACAAAGCAATTCTGGGACTCCCCTGAGCCCCAAATACAAACACCAGTGGGCCAAGAGGGTGCCAGGTTGAGGGAGACCAGGCCAGGCATGGCTGAGCTGAATGATGCTATAACTCCAGCATCTGCCAGAACGCAGCGTCTGCTGCAGGAAGCCATGACAGGCTCCAGGAAGGGGCTGCTGAATGGAGACAGGCCCAGCACCAGGGAGACAAAGCTTGGCCCAAGATGCCTGGGAAATGAGAAGGGCAAAGCAGACCACAGCCAGGTACCCGGGGGAGTGGGAGTCTCTCCATGTTGAGGATTGGTACCCATAGCTGGCAGAGGGGCAGGAAATGAGGGGTAGGCAGCCCAGAGGAGGCAGGTGTGAGAGACCTGGAGAAATTAATTTATTAGGGCCAATGAAAGGAGTTAAATGTGTTTGCCGGCTCAGCAATGACTCAGGCATTCCCCAGGGGTTCGCAAGTCTGCGTATCAAAGGATCAGACAGGCCTCCTCCCACCAGCGCACTGCCAGCCTCTCGAGCCCCCCCTCCTTCAGGGCGAGGGAGGAGCAGCCTCTCGGGCCTGCACAGCCCCAGCCCCAGCAGACCTCACCCAGAAAGGCTGAAGAAGGAAAGCTTTGTATTGAGACAGAGCTGGGTCAAGATCCTAGCCTTGCCCCCCACTGCTGTGTGATCTTGGGCAGGCGGCTGGCCCTCTCTGGACTCATTCACCAGGGAGGATGCATCTCCACCAGGCCTGGTCCTGCCTTCCCCTCACATCCCATTTGACTCCTTCCAGAAACTGAGTAGCGGCCTCCTCTGCCTGAAACTGGACAACTGCCCTCCAGGAGAAAAGCCAGCCCCCACAGGCCTTCAGAGCAGGGGGACGTGTTCTTGCAGTCCTGGGTCGACCTCCTCTTCACGGGGCAAGGAGGTTGGGCGAAGCAAGGGAGAACATTCCAGCCTGCAGCATGGGAGCCCCTGAATAGCAGCTGGGCACATTTGGGGAGCTGTGAGCTGTTTGGTGGGCCTGGAGGGGCCTGCAGTGGAACAGCAGGACATGACATGGAATGGAACAGAGGGGCCTGGCAGGTGTCCAAGCTGGTGAGGGACTTGTCCCCTGAGGCCACTTGCTCCTTTGCTTTGCAGTGAGGATAGATTAAGGGGGCTGGGTAGGTGGAGACCACAGGGAGTTGGAGGGAGCATGGGAGGAACAGGGATAGGGCAACAGCAGGACAGGGCAGCCTGAGTGTGGGGGAGCGAGAGGAAGGAAGCTCCATGGGCCTCTAGTTTCCCAACTACCTGGTGCAGGTAGCCTTAGGGGAGTGGGGATGTACAGGCCACACTGAATGGGAGGGGCTGCCGAAATCCTCCAGATTGCACCTCCAAGGTAGGTAAGGGCCTGGGCTCAGCAGAAAGCCCGCCCCTCCCCTGCCCTTCCTTCTCCTGCACTTTCCCCCTTTCTTGGTCATCCAGTCCTGGCCCAATAGCACACCGGCAGCACCTGGGGTGGGCATCTGCCTGAAGACCTGGGTTCAAATTCCAGATTCCCCATCACCAGCCCTGTGGCTCTAGGCCAGATGCTCAGCTGTCTCTGGAACTCATTTTCTCAACTCCTGCTCTGGGGGACAAGGCTCCTACCAGCAGTCCTGTCCCCAGAGTGTCCAGATGAGCTGCTGGCCCAGGCTGAGGGGGAAGGGGAGTCTAGAACCTGAGAACTGCCCCAAGGAAGAGGAAGAAACTTCTGTGAGTCACAGAAGTCCTCAACCATTTCCAAGCACGCATGGTTTCTCCTGACTCCAAGTGCAGAGCAGGGCCCTGTCACTTTGTCCCCAGTTTAGATACTTAACCCTGGAGAGTCCCTTGGTTTTCTCCTGTGAGTTTTTTGCCTGTTTGTTTGTTTTTGAGACAGTCTTGCTATGTAGTCCAGGCTGGCCTCAAACTCACCATCTTTCTGCCTCATCCTCCCAAGTGCTGGGATTACAGGTTTGTGCCACCATACCCATCCTCCAGTGAGTTCTTAGCAGACGCAGTATTCCAGATTTGACCCAGACAGCCCTGCCCACCCCCACCCTGCCCAGCATCAATGTCATGCCCAAGGGTGCCAATCATGGGGCAGCCACTCAGGCCAAGGCCTAGGCCAGAACTTGGCCATCCAGCCTCCTGGCACTTTCCAAAGAGGAGACAGTCACTCCCCCACCCCCCAGAGAAGGGCTCAGATTCCTTCCCAGAAGGAGGGCCTGTGCCAAGAGAGTCAATGCTGCCTGGTTTTGAGCTATCTAGATGGGAGCAGTAGGTAATAAGCTTGTCATCCAAAGTGGGCCCTTCAGAAAGCGCTAGAATTTGGGTTAGAGGGGGCACTGGATAATAGAAGCAAACCAAGACTGCTCTGACTCCCCAGGACACATGGTCACATAGCCACAAGAGCCCAGAAGGAAGTGAGGTGGCCCTGGGGGCTGGGAGGGCTGTACCCATAGCCACTTCAACCTGGAGGACCCAGAGCTCCAACCCTCCACTCCAATCCCAGTGAGCTCTCCTCCTTCCTGAGCCCCTCAGTCCTGCCCCATCACTAAGGTGTGTTGTGGACTGAGGACCACCCTGTTGGCCTGGTCTACCACATGCCTTCAGAAGTCCTTAGAGCTCACTGTTATGGGAGGAGTCTCTGGACAGCTCTGAAGACAGCTGGGGCTCCTCCCAGGTGCAGCTGACGCCCTTCTCCTGCAGAAAGCCCTCCCTGGCTACCCCTGTCCCCAGGGGTAAGACTCGAGAAACAGGTGCTCTAGCCCTAGAGCCTCCAGGAGACCCTGCCCCTGAGACAATCCCAATCTTAGGTGTCCACAGGCTTGGTGGTCTGGGGCCACCCCTCCAGGAAGGGCAGCAGTTCTCCGGCTGCTGGGCTCCGAGCCCCAGCCTTCCTCCTTTCCCACCTCTCTCTGCTTCTGCATGGGCTCTCCAGCCCCTTTTGGGGCTACCTCACCTATAACAGCATTCTTCCCCTTACTTCAGGAGGGGAGGGAAGCTTGCAGGTGTTAAGGGATGCACCTGAGGTCACCAA